GCTTCAAAAAATGAAGTAGATCGATAGAACTATGAAAACTTGAAAATCTTGAAAATTGACAGTCAAAAAATGCGTTACAAAATATACTATTTTCAAAACTTGAAATCCTTTTTTTTTCATGTCTATGCATCTTGATGTCGAGATGATCAATTTGATGATATTTGGGCATCAAAACAGCTTCTTCCAGTAAAATTTTTGAGGCAGGCTCAAATTTGATTGTTTAGATCCTCGGCTCTATATAAACTTTCCCCTTTAAATATTATAACAAAAATATACAGTATTTTTATTTAAATATTATATACAAAATTTTATTTAAATAGTAACACTATTCGAGTCCGGTCTGGCTCAAGTCCACATGGACCCAGACGTGGACCTTAGTAGTGTTCGAGTCCAAGTTTTGGACACAGACTCGACTAGCTGGGTCTTTTGGACCACCCCTAGGGGTGGGGAAGAAAATAAAAGGTTCCTAAGTAGCTAATTAAATATCTAAAAGAGATTGACAACACCATGTTCTTGTCATCTTCTCTTTTCTTCTTGGGCTGTTAGAGAGATTCAGATAATCTCTTCCTCTCTCTCCCTTAAAAGAAACAATACTCAGTAATCCGCGCACAACTCTCCCTATCAACTTGCATAGTCTGCATGAGGTGGTTATTTCTCATAGTCCTGTTAACATGCTATTGTAGCTGTAATGCCTATGATTTAATCAACTAAAGAAGAAGTTTTTTATGAGTCTGCTCACTCATGTATCCACCCTGGTTTTCAGAGGTTTTAAGACCATAAATAAATCCTAAATCATAGCAAATCCATTATTTGGCGCTGCAAAATAATGTAGATTTGATGATCTTTGAAGAATTGAAAAGAACAGTCCAAAGAACAAGTATAAGAAGGGATATTTGAAGGACTATTTTGAATACCTAAAATTCATTTTTGTTTAGATTCATGATCACAGTGGTCGTGATAATAGACCTGCGATTTTGGATCTCAAGTCCATCTCCAAGATGGATTTGGAAAGGTAGATGCACTATAATAGGTGCGCGTTTGGGATAGACCTAAACCTTAGGCATCACACGTACGCATGCGTGCAGGCAAGCGCACACACAAACACACAACATTTTTCATCAATAAGGAATATCAAGTGTACTGTAGTACTTCAGAAAAAAAAAAAAGAGGCATGATTGAGTCCCTTGAAGGTAGTAATTCAAATATTACGGCCATCTATAGGAGGGAAGAAAAACATAAAAATTGAAGGAGTTGTGACCCTAAAGGGCTATCTTAAAATCGCTGAAGAGAACACTTTTTCCTATCATCATCAAATAGAACATTTAGACAGAAACATGGGTCAAATAGGTTCTTATCAGACTGTATACAAGAAAGCAGTCAGAGAAATCACATTTTTATTATTTGGAATTTTTTTCTTTTTTTTGATAATTGTATTTAGACTTATTTATATTTGACAACTAAACACTAATTATTATTATCTGGAATTATTCATATTTGATAACTAAACAATAATTGCTTCATGTCTAAAGATATGCTAAGTCTACAAATCTCAGTGTTTCGAGATTCGGCCGAGGCCACTCGGACTCGGCCAAGTTTCTCCGCCTCACCCTAAGGGCGAGGAAAGTTTTATCCAAGTAGGCTGTTCCAATTTATATAAGTACATATATATATTTATGTCATTTGTAGGTTATGAATGCGTGAATGGCATATTAGATAGCATATGCGCGTTCTTTTTACAGTGTCAGGGGTTCAATTCCCCCCAAGGTAAAGCACTTTTTCTTGTTTTTTCTTTTTTGGGGTTAAAGAGACTTGAAAACTATATATAATGTCACTTCTATGTCACAATACACGAATGGCTATTCCCCATATTGGATAACATATCCGAGTGCCTTTTAAAGTGATTGGGGTTCGATTTTGCCAAAGGTAAGACACTTCTTCTTTTTTAAAGGGTTAAAGAGCCTGAAAAAATAAATTAAAAAAAGGGGACCCATGGGAATCGAACCCATGAGCTCTTAAATGTACAAAGGCAGCCCAACCAATTTGATATTTAAAATTTAATGTTAACGCTACAAAGGTTCAAAATGTTGTACTTTCGTACGCTAAACAAAATGAGTAGCACTCGTGGGAATTAAACCCACGAGCTCATAGAGAGCAACCTACAAAAGCTGGATGAACCAACCAATACGTCACTCCAAGACTTATGCTAAAGTGAGGTAGGTTATTAAATTTATTTTCCTTTTTGTTCCGTTTCCGTGTTTTTTTTTAAGTGAACACGACTTGGGCGAGTTCCTCGGACTTGGTCGAGAAATTCGCCTCGGCCAAAGTCCAAGTACCTTGGCCGAGTCATGTTTCAAAAATCTGACAAAACTAAACAAGAATTGCTTCACGTCTAAAGATAGAGTAAGTTGACAACTATGAGGGAAGCATACAACTAGACCCATCACATGGATTGCACGCTTTGAATTCACATTCCCATATTATTTTCAGACTATTAACATAAATAAATGCAGATTGCTATGTTGGATAAAATTGAAGTTTTTAAAGCAAATATGCCATAAAATAAGATATTATACAACTAGGCTTTCACATGGATTGCAAATTTTGAGTTAGTATTCCCCATATTATCGTCAAACCATCTAATGTGAAATGTTGGATAAAATTACAGTTTATACAGCAAATGTGCCTGCATGAGATAGGATGCACAAGTGATCATATCAATAATTTTTCTTAACTAAAATGCTTTTTAAAATGGTATTGTCTACAAGAGACGATTTATCTTTTGTACAAGGAGGTCACAACATTCCCGCTCATTAGACATCAAATTAGATGACTTGGGGTGAATCGCACGTCCGAGAATTTTTTTTGGGAATTTTGTGTCTATTCAATGACACTTTTACAATCACCCATTTTGAAATGTAAGGGACAATAATGAGTGTGACCTCCTTGTACAAAAGATAAATGGTCTCTTTGTAAACAATCTCTTTTAAAATATTATTGATTCCAATACAGAAATTATATAACTTCAAAAATAGCCCTATAATCATAAAATGAATAATCAACATGCAGCATCAAAATCTACATATATCTCATAAGGAAACAACAATCATAAAAGTTTATGATGTAAAGCATAACGATGCTTAAAGGAAAACAAATGTACCTCCTCATCATCGTCATCTATGCCTTCTTCATTGTTCTTCTTGAGACGGGTCGTTCCCCCTTCCTTGCTAAATGGCAATTTCATTGGGCCAAAGGGGGTGTCCACATGAATGTTCCCCTTCATGGTATACCCAGTCCCTCTTCCTCTAATCATGTCCCAAATTGCAGAGCCAAAGTCTTTAGGCCTGAATGTTATAGGAATCTGAACAACACTGTTTCCTTTTTTCTCAATTGTTGTTGCTTTGGAGAGTTCAGCACTCCCAATGCTCACATCTGACAGCCATATCTCATAATCAAGAGCATTCAAACCCAAGTCGAAATCATTCATGTTCTCCAGCTTCACATGAAGAGTAGCAACAGTCTCTTCAAAAGAGAACTTGTTGAACTCTATCTTACCAAGATCCACATCTGGCTTGTAAGGGATAGGAATCTCGCCCGTCTTCTCTAGAGGAATGGTGATTCGCCCAAAAACAGGCACATCCACAATAAGGTCAACCTTGATCTTATAAGGAATAATACTACCCTCTTTGATATCATCATAAGTGTTCTTTATGTCATCATAAACCAATTTCACTGGTATTTTAACAGTCTCAGATCCATGCGCACGAATAGTACCAGCATCAGGGATGAGCCCAGATACGAGCTTCCTGCCATCACTCTCTACCAAATAGTCTATGTCTACAAGAGGGATTGGAACAGGGTTTGGGTTAGTTACGTGCACATCAACTACGAATTCAGCCCGATGCAAATCAATATGGGGAATGTGAATTGCAGAGACATCAGCAGTTGGTTTTCCAAATCCTATTGCTTCCTCGATCTTCTCTCCAATGGCATGAATGAACCCCTTTACCTTATCAACAAAGCCTCCCTTTTCTTCATCTTTATCTTCTTCCTTGTAGTCTTTCTCTTTGACTTCCTTCTCAATTACTTCTGGTCTCTCAGATGAAGACATGCTTCAAGAATGATAATCCCTGATGCAAGAATAGCTAAAAAAATAAATTGGGAGTCAGGAAAGCATCCAATGGATCAATTCTATCAAAAAGAAGAAGACAATAAAAAGGATAATCACTCTAAATAGTACTCTTCCATTAATGCATGAACCTCATAAATAACAAATACTCCAGGTAAAATTTGATGAATAAAGCTAACGAGGCAAATGAAATGTCAATTTTGTCAGGGTTCAGAACGTGGAGCCGTATATTTGATAATTAATCAATTACATGTCACTTATAAGCCAATCAATGCATATCATCGATCATGTTGCGACCTTCAGCTTACTGTTATGCATAGGGTTCTAACAATTTTCTATAGAGGCTGTCATAGATATTAAGTAACCTGCTAATCTCTTACTGCGCATTAGTGGAATGCACTTTGAACGAATGATGATTCACCCAATTAACATTTCTTTCTTGTTTCATTCTTGTTTTCGTGCAGATTACAAGTTAAGTGGCTCGAGTAGTACTTGGACCATACTTCTTCTTAGAATATGACTAACTAGAAAGGTCATTACTCTATGGGCTTCCCCTTTATATTTTTTAACCTACTAAGCTGGAATTCGGTCCTAGACCCCAAGTCATATTAACTTGAAGTCATGGTTTGAGGGGGAAATCTCTGCAATGAATTCACTTTAAATTTCAATAAGTCCACCTTGATCCAAGTTCAATCATGCTTTCGCGTTATCCAGTTCATTGAAAATTTGAAACTGGTTAGTAATAGTAATCAATCGAAGTTAAAGTCCTAGGGCTCTAAGCTCTAAACTCTAATTAGTGTTGGTTGATCTACTTTTTTAAGTTTTCTCTTAGAATCTAAAAAAAATGTTTTTGAGAACAGTTTGGTAACCGTTGTTTCGAAAATCAGAGTTTTGTTTTTGCAGTGAATCTAATAAGTGAAGATCAAATAAACGACCTATGAATCAAGAGATGGGTCATGGTGGTCTTTGTTTTTGCAGCGAATGCAACAGGAGAAGTTCAAACAAACTACGAATCAAGCGACGGGTGGAGGTGATCACATTTGGCCTTGTGCAAAAAAAATTATCAACTCTAGACCTCATATATCTATGGGTAGTGCATTCACCCTTCCAAAATCCATCTTGGAGATCGTTTGAGGATCCAAACATCACAAGTCTATTATCTTGCCAACTACAATTATGAATCTGGAAAAAAAATGAATTCTGAGCCTTGAAATTGATTAATCTTGCCCCCTCTGTTTTTCTTTGTTTTTAGTGTACAATTCAATTCTTCAAACTTCAAGGATCATAAAAAATGAACTAATTTTGGAGCCCCAATTCATGGATTTGAGACACAAATGAATTTGCATCGAAATGTGAACTGAATACAAGTATAAACAACTTAGAGCAAAAAACTTCAAGGATATTTGGAGACGACACACATAGAGCAGCGGATCTTGGTGATGCAGAATCAACTGTGCAAAAAAAATAAAATTCGTGCCATTACAAATCACAAAACCCTACATTGACTCAGAGATCGCAAAAAAACCTTCACATCGATCATCCATTCTCAAACCAAACCAAAACATTACAGCTTTGCATAGATCGAGCTCAAAATCACTCGATTCTGAAGAAGAATTGAAGTGAAATCGCACAAGATCAATTAAAAATGTAAAATAAATCACAAAACCCTAAGGCTGAATCGATGAAAGTAGGCAACATGACTGAAAGTCTATGCTTCAACGATCTGTCAGTTCCATGAAGAAAACATGATCTACTGATGTATACTGTGTAGATAGAGAATATGAAGTAGATGAACACTTACCAGTGTACCTCGCTTCACCAGGCAGATCCTTGAAGAAACCTGCAAGAAACCTGTGGTTTTAGAGAGAGAGGCAGAGAGAGGACTGTAGAGTGAGAGTAAATTGAGGGCCGTTTTTAATAGCGGCTCGAGGCAAAGACGCGGTTGTCGATTACTACAGTGCGGCCAGAGTCCAACAAACTGTTATCTCCATCTAACATCGGACGGCTAGTAATCTCTAAAAATCTTATAGCTGGGGTTGACTCCAACTTTATTAAATAAAAGGTAATAGGGTAAATATTTTAAACTTTCTTTTAACAGATCTCAAATCGGGTAAAAGAGCCAACATAAAATTTTATTAAAATTTTTTATAATAGCTAATCCAAAAAATTGAGAAAAGACGGATGATGATGATAAGGTTGATATTTGTAGGTATAAAATTAAGATACACCTATAAAATCTTTGGAAAAATACTGTTTTAATATTGGAAATACATCTAATTTATCATCCTAACGCTGAGATGCAGAGATAAAAATATAGATTTTAAGTCTTAAAAATAATACATCTTCCAGTATATCATCTGAACCATCCATTTTCAGTATTTTCATATGTTTATAGATCTCCTTGTTTTGAAACATTCATAAAATTCAAAATTCATAATTAGAGATAAAAACATAGTATCGCTCTATCTTTAAGAATTTTTACATTAAAATTGCATCTCGTAGCGAAGTTCGGAGGTGCACCTGATTGTCCAAGTGTGAGTTCTCTATATCAACAGTATGCATATAATCTATGTGCCTAGAAACATCCAAACATTTGATATTGATATAATGGATGAGAAAATTAAAGTGAACTAATAATAATGTCACGCAATAATTCCTGCTTGATAACAAAAAGTTTGCGACATTATTTTCACCTCACCATTGATTATCAAATCAAGATCAAAACTCAAAAAATGATACAGATCTTGCGGATTTACGAACACTTATTTTTAAGGCGAAATAGATTACCTATATATTTTGCTATAATGCACACTATTTTTAGAGCTTGAAATCATTTTTATTTTCAAAACCCATATATTCAAACCGAGCCGCCTGGCCCCCATCCCAATATTGGGGTGGCAACGGGTGGGGTCGAGTTCGGTTGGACTTGGGCTCAGACTTGAAAAAAGGATATGGGACCCAGACCCGACCCAAAAATTAGAATATCTATGATCTAACTCTATTTCATATATGGGTGCTGTTCGCATACAGACGCCTCCGTAGGTGTAGAGGTACGGTGCCCTTCAAAATTTATCATGGTATATAATTTTGATGTAAAATGTTATTAGAATTATCTCAAAATCTAATTTTATATCTAATTATAAAATTTTAAACTTAAAAACTAGTTAAAATCAAGTAGATCTATAAATATATGAAAATCTTGAAAATGGATGGTGTAGATAATATGTTGTAAAATGCACTATTTATGAGACTTAAAATCTTTCTATTTTTCATAGTCATACATCTCGATATCGAAATGATCAATGAAATGGTTTTTCAACATTAAAACTACCTTTTCTGATGGATTTTTGAGGGACATCCATAGTTCTACATTATAAGATAGCATCTTTATATAAACTTTTTCCTTCATATATTGAAAGATGAAAAAAATTACTGGACACATACCAAAATGAACGCGATTGGACCCACACCTGGATCCAAATAATATTCGGGTCCAATACGTGGACGTAGACCGGACCCGTCAAATCCATATCCAGACCCCGTCAAATCCATATCCAGACCTTGATCTAGGTCTACCCCTTGGGTCGGATCCGGGTTCATTGCCACCCCTAAGACGCATTATTACTACACAATACTGATGGTTTGGATATATTGAATGACTTCATGAGCATAATGAAAAGCACCATGGGAGGTTTTGAAAAAACAATTAATAAGGTCGGTGCTGCACGTGAAAACTGTCAGAGGAAGTGATGATAAAAAAAAATGTGAGCAAAAAGACAATAAGTCTCACGTGAGAAGCAGCAAAGTAATATTTATAAGTAATTAAATTGCTTATTGGTAATAATGAGTTTCAATTATTACTTATTGGCTATCTATTGTGATCAGCTGTGATGGAAAGCTTGCATTAATTAATTAGGAACTTAGATTTTACGAATTTTTACATAAAAGTTATATTTTATTTTTAATATTTAAAAATAAAAAAAGTACATAAAAAGACCATTTATTTTTTATATAAATAAGTCACAATCGCTTTTGTCTTTCGGATTTCAAATCGGGTGGTTATAAGTATGTACTACATTCAAAATTTAAAAAACAAATTTATTGAACTTTGAAGCACAACTCAAGTTGTCAAATTCAAATGGGATGGCTTGAGGTATTTGTGACCTCCTTGTAAAAGGGACAAACAATCTCATAGTATAGAATCATTTTATATTTTACAACCAAATCCATTTTTTGGGTAGTAAGTGTGTTTTGATTTTATTTATTTAGCTATTTATCAATGGGTGTGGTTTGTAGCCTAGGCTCTAAACTATCAAATTAGAGCCTACTTTCAAATAGTGACGAGAAATATAGTTTCAATACTGAAAATACTTGTGTAGCCTTAAAATATATTTTTATCTTTATTTATAAAGTTTAAAACTTAAAAAATAGTGTAGATCGATAGATATATGAAAACTTTAAAATCTTAAAAATTGACGGTCAAAAAATGCATTACAAAATACACTATTTCCAAAACTTGAAATCTATTTTTTTCTCATGTCCATGCGTCTTGATATTGAGAAGATCAATTTGAGGATATTTGGACATCAAAACAACCTCTTATAGTGAAAATTTTGATGTAGGCTCAAATTTGATTATTTAGAGCCTCGACACTATATAAACTTTTCCCTTTATCAATAGATCAAAGTAAGCTCAAATTTAGTGTGTACAAACTTCTCACCATTATACACCTGTAAAAAGTTTTTAAAAAATAATTTAAAATATATGAAATTAGCACACTACCCTAAATACTATAGGGTTAGTTTAGTTATTTTATTTATTTTAAATTATGTTTTAATTGTTGCATGTTTATGATATGAAAAATGATGAATATAACAAATTTGACAATCTAATATATATATATATAATATTTCATGTTATTGTAAAATAAAAATTTATTGTAAAATATGAAATGTATGGAACCGTGAGTCAAAGGATTTCATGAGAATAGCTGATTTAGAAGGAATTTATTTATTTTCCTTTAAGAAAGTTTCTATAACACAATGATGTTTGTTCATTATTGAATCATCTAATCGTAGTCTTTGGGCTTGTACTGCTGTCTTACAAAGGATTACCTGTAGTAGTAAGAAAAGGTTATTAAAGAGTTTAAATTACTTTACACTTTAAGGATTACTTTTTAACAATCATTTCAATTGTGTACCTCCCAAAAAGTAAAAATACTTAAATTGCCCTTATTTACTTAAATTGCCTCTATTTAAAAATAGGAGCCAAAAATAATATATGGTATTTAGATAATTTAATGAGGCTAAATTGAAGGTTCCTAATCCATAATAAAGGCAATTAAATTATTTTTTAAAAAATATTTTGAGAGGCATATGATTAAAAAAGTTTTAAAATAACCATTGCGAACGTTTTATAGAGTCATTTGGACCCCTTAGTAATTTAGTAGGGAAAAGTTTATATAGAGCTGAGATTCTAAATAATCAAATTAAAATGTATCTCAAATATTTCACTATAAGATGTTATTTTGATGCCCAAATATTTTTAAATTGATCATCTCAACATCAAGATGCATGGGCATAAGAAAAAAATGGATTTCAAGTTTTGGAAATAGTATATTTTGTAGCATATTGTTGGGCCATCAATTTTTAAAATTTTAAAGTTTTCATAGATCTCTTGATCTACACTATTTTTTAAGCTTTAAACTTTATAAATAAAGATAAAAATATATTTGAAGGCTATCAAAAAGATTTCCAATATTGAAACCATATTTCTCAATGCTATTTGAAGGTAGGCTCTAATTTGATTGTTTAGAGCCTAGGCTCTATGCAAACCGTACCCAATTTAGTAAAGGAAAAAGTTTATATATGTGCCGATCTAAACAATCAAATTAGGGCGTACCTAAGAAATTTCATTAAAAGAGGTTGTTTTGATGTTCAAATATCCTCAAATTAATCATGTGGACCTCAAAATATATGGGCACGAAAAAAAAAATGGTTTTCAAGTTGGGAAATAGTACATATTGAAGCTTTAAATTATATAATTATAGATAAAAATATATTTTAAGGTTGTAACAAATATTCATAATATTGAAACCACACTTTTCGATACTATTTGATGGTGAGCTTTACTTTAATTGTTTATAGCCTCGGCCTTGTACAAACTGCACCCTTTAATAAAAGGTTTTTAGTTTCCCTATAAACCATTTATATTATATTTTTATTGCAATGAGCTATGACTTCAAGTTTGGTTCCCATGACACTTAACCAAATTATTGCAGTGTTACTAACTAGGGACAATTATACTACAAGGCAAGTTGCCTTTGGCACATCAAGGTCGCAACCGCCATGAGCCTGTAACTTGGACCTAGGCCACCAAGTCTAGGTGCATGATCAATTTTTGGTACAAGGTGTCAATTACTCATTAGTGTGAAGTTAGGAGGTTAGGGGTGTGTCGTGAAATCCAATTTTTTTTTGTTGAATATTGAGAGTAATAATTAACATATTATTCGATCCAACAGCCGAGATTGACTGTAACCTTTTTGTAGCAAAAAGTAAATAATTTTATTATAAATTTTACGAGTTTTTTCTCTCTAAATAAACATATTTGTCTCAAGTTCACATTTATACGAAGTCAATATTCTATTTTTTCGGGATAGGAAAAAATTTTGGGACACTTTCTTTGTTAAAACTTGCACACTTTATTTCTCTAAAAACACTTTTGATCTCTCTAAAATTTGTATGCTTTGTCCACCCTATTTATTAATGTTTTAAAAAATGAATTGGTGAAATAGATTATCCGCCCCCAATATCAATATGGATCAGCTAGATTGTGTTCTAAATCGTTCTTGAATCATTTGAATCAATGATCCAATATTTTTTTGAAAATATTTAAAAAAAAAATTAAAATAAAGGTTTATAAAATGAAGGAAAAAAATGAAAAATGGGGTTTTGTGGGAGAATTAAGGGGATGGAGATCTATAGCATTTTGGAACCGGTTCGGTCTCGATCAATTTCACATCTAAATCCACGACGCGGGTTGAAAACCTTTCGGATTTTCAAACACTGCTATCTACTGTCTATTATGACTTGAGAGCACTTTCTCTCTCTAAAAAAGTTCAGGAATATTTTTTGTCTAGAAATCCTATATCACACTCAAAAAATCGTGTATCCATTTCCATTTTATTATCTTAATTTTTTTTTTTGACTTAGGCAAGTAATACAGAGCCACTTTCTCACTCCAAAAACCTGTCCACACATTCTCTCTCTAAAAAAATCCTATTTCTCTCTCTAAAGATCATATTATAAGCCCACAGTCTATTTTATCTTCGACAAGTTTCAAGTTTAAAATAGGCACTTTCTCTCTCTAAATAACCGACGCTATTTTCTCTCTCTAGACTGAGACCCTTTTATACTCGCAGTTTTATTTGATCACTGATTTGATGCCACCCTGCACTCGTGGGGGAGCAAAAGGCCCCAAATCTCCTATGCGGAGTAGGAGTCTTGGGTTGGATGATTTGCCCCAAATTAGGGTTAGGGCTTGTTTAGCCCTTCTCCTCCCTGGTGCCTGGTTCTAAGGTTTTCCTACTATCCAGAGCTTCTAAGTCTCTCATGGTGTTCTCTTGCCCTAAGGTTTGACACACTCAAGAGATATGCTCGAAAACAGTTCGGGAGATGCGACCGTTAAGAGATACGTTCCTCCAAGGCAAGAAAAACATTTAATTTTCCCTCTTTTATTGCAGATTTCTATGTTTTTGTGCATTACAATCATGACAGGTAATTATATGGGTACATTGATGGTTTTGTTATTAATTGTGTGAGATTTCTCTCTTGTGTGATCTCTCCTCTCTACCTCTTGATTCTGATGTTTTTGGGCGATTAATGACTTGAGTAAATTAGTTTGTAGTACGATATTGATTTGTTAATTTGATTTTGGATTTTCTCAGTGGATAATTCGGCTGATTTAATTAGGTGGTAATATTTTTTTTCCATTTATTCGTGTGTTTAATTTATAATATATACTTTTTTGTTTGGAGTAGATTCAAGTTTTAGCTTGGAATCTTGGAGTCCTTCGTCTATAATGTGCTGGTTACAGTAGAATAGGATCTCTCTTTCTCTCTCTCTCTCTCTCTCTCTCTCTCTATATATATATATATTATTTTTACTGTTGTCGTCTTTTTATTTCTAGGCATTTTTGGCATTAATTATTGTGCTAATTTAGCTCTAATTGAAATATACAAGGTTCAATAACTCGGCTTGGACTTGGGATTAGGCCCTGCCCATGCCGATTAAGTTGGGTGAGTCTGAGTGGATTCACCCGAATCTTACTCCATCATTCTGCTATACCCTAAGTCAGACCATAAATCACCCTATCTCTTTTTGCTATTTCTATCCATATCCTTTGTTGTTATTCCCTTGCCTTTTTGGAACCTTCCACTTGAACTAAACGGCTCCTTGTAACTTTGTTATTCTAGGTCAACACTGCACATAGCAAAACCACCTAAGGCTATTTTATCTCATCTTATCGCCTATTGGCATTACTCTTAAGTTCCCACGGATGTATTCAATTTGAATTGTATCCTTTCTTGTCTTGTCACTCATCTATCTCAACATCCTCATCTCAACTACACTCATTCTATGAATATGTTGTTTCTTGATTGTCTAACATTCCGTCGCATAAAACATGACTGATCTTACAACCGTCCTATATAACTTCCCCTTCAATTTCCTTAGTACACAATGATTACATAAGATTCTAGAAGCACATCTCCACTTTGTCTACCCAACTCTAACTCTATATGCGGCATCTTCTTTATTCTCTCCATTTCATGAATTATTGAAATTGATTTATAGCTGGAAACATTTCAGAAAAATCCAGAAAAGGGTAATGCATAAAAACATGGCATATGATTAGAAAAACTCACAGATCATCAACAAAAACTTCAAAATGATATATAGAATATATATTTTTTTGAGAATGTTAACTTAAAAATAATTAGAATATTTATATATTAATTTTACAAGAAATTTAATATTTAATATTTTTTAATGAATTTCTTATCTTACCCGAGTTTCTATCCTAGTACTCGGCTCCGCAAGGGGCCGAGACTGAGTAAGTTGGCTGAGTTTTCAAACACTGGAAATTTATGTTGTGAAGCTGTTTCAGTAGTCTCTCTCTATCTGTTGTGGGTATTTAGAGTTTCTATGTCTACTTTTAAGAGAGCCCTATATGCTCTCCCTCTCTCTCTAGTACAAGACACACAGTTTTGAAGATTTTCAGTTGAAGATTGCAATAGCTCTCTTTGTCAAGATTTCAATAATTGGCTCTGAAACCAAGAGTCAAATTGTTCCTTAATTAGTGCACAGTGCTTTGTTCCTTTTGTTGTGAATCATCTGCTTTAATTTGATTATTGTGTTATCGATCGTGAATCATTGTTGGTTTTTACCTTTTCTTTTTGGGAAGCCTCATTGCTTTGGGGTTGAAGGGGCTTACTTGGGATCGTTAGTCACCTTGTTTATTCAGTTGATTTTGAAAATTTGGTCCTTTGTCTTAATCCCATCACATGGTTTATTTTGCATTCTATATTTATCTCATTTGTTTTCTCATTTAAAAATTTTATACCCCCCAACATAATCAATAGCCAAAGCATTATTTTTTGAATTCACAATGATTTCTATTATGGTTGTTGGAACTTTTCTTTATTTATTTATTTTAGAGCAATGTTCGTATTTTAAAATTTCACTCTACTTTTTGTGTTCTTGATCCATTCAGTATTGTTTAGATTATTTGTGTAGCTTTACCCGAACTATAACTTGGGATGGAGCTTAGTCTTTGCCTAGTTCTAGATGCTGAGATTTTAGATTCTATGTTAGAAGTGGTTAATTTTTCATCTATTTGGTTTGATTATTTGTCTATCTCTGGACAATTAATAAGCTTTCATAAAAAACTTATCAAACTTATAATTCTTGTGCTGAGGTCAAAGACATTTATGGTATTGCTATAGTACACAAACATTTCAATATGGAAAGCGAATTTTGTTCTCGTCTTCTAGACTGGTTACATGACATCTGTATTGGTGCATCATTCAATTACTCATTCTCTTTTTTACTTATTTCTTTTTTTATTTCATTTTTCTTAATTTTTAAATCTGTTGACTTTTCTTGTTCATATTATAGCTACAAGAAATTTTTAATTGGGTGGTGTCAATGCTTGGTTTATTGGTGTCAATGCTTGGTTTATATATATGTTGTGGTCTTCTTTATTGGGCATTTTATGGTTGCAGGAATCGTGTTCTCAACAGGCGCAAATCTGGAGGTATGTAAACCTTCTATGCCATCATTTAACTCATTTTTTCATTTTAGTTGAGTGTTTTGGTACTCTTACGCAGTGTTCAGGGACTGAGTCTAGATGCTGAACGTTGTTCAAATGAATGATGTTGGGTAATCCATGTCTTAAAAGTGCCAGGCCTAGTAGTTCTTCTATGCCACCTTACGACTGAGGTTTTCATTTTACTTGAGTGTTTTAAATATTGGTATTCAAATGAGATGTTGTTGGGTAATCTGTCTTTGTAGTGCCAGGCCTACATACTTCCTTAAAAGTAGAGCCTAATTTGTTCTCTCTTAATAAATAAGGATCTCACTGTTCATGATATATGTCCGAATTTGGGTGAAGGTTTATCTTTTTTTATGGATTCGACAATGATGATATTCAATAATGTATATCCGAAGAAAGCTTTACAGTTTTGGAAAATGGTTGTACTTTTCATCTCATTCTGAATGCTTATTTGAGAAAAAAATTGTTTCCTATATGGTTGAACTTTTCTGCATATATTAGTAGGAGAAATTAGCAGTTCTGAGGGTAACTCTAAGCTGTTTTTTCTTTATGTGCTACTATTAAAACAACAATACCTAGCCCATTGCTCTTGCTTCAAGAGAATGTACATTTCAAACTGCTTAGCTCATTGAAGTGACCTTTTGCTGTGGGGCATTGTTTAAAAGATCACTGACCCGAGTTGCCTTGGATAGAGACCTGGCAAGTCTGGAAGCTAAACCTAGGGACCTGCCCCAAGTCTCACCGTGTTTCACTTTTTGTCAATCTTTAGCAGACTTGGCCGGTGTTGAACTGGGTGACTCAGGCTCAGAACCTTCCGACCTGAGTACTGATTCTTAGATACTTTTGTCAGGACGACATTAGCACCATAGAGTGATTTTATATTATCTTGCCTAAAACGGTTTTCCCATAGTGCAAACATATATTCTGATCTCTTACCACTTACCAGCTATAGCCTGTTAGGCATGAGGGTTCAAATGAGATGATTTTTTTATCAATATAATAATGCATATGAAATTTTTTTGCATAAAACAATATTTTATATACTAAATCAGTGATGCTCAATGTTGCATTTTTAAATCTAAGTGCTTTGGCTGATGCCTTCAGCTTCAGTCCCTGGTCCAAAGCAAAGTGCCATTTCAACCTAAGAGTGCTGTTGTAATTTGTTCCCCTTACTTATTTCTTTTTGCATGAGTTTTATAACTTCCATGGATTTTCAGTAATGAATCTCCAATACCTTTTTAGGAATTAGTTGAATGGGGAGATTTGGGGTGCATAAAATAAATTTGGAATACTTCTCTCTAACATCTCTCTCCCCTCTCTCTCTCTCTCTCTACATGATTACATTCGAAGATATTTATCTTAATTTAGGAATTTCTATTTATATTTCTTCTTTTGGTAAGTTATTTTAATCTTCACCAAAACTTATCTTATTCTGATGATTATGAATCCAATCTTAATTATGGTTTGAGATGTAGACCTGCTTCTACAAAGTTCCTTTCCTTTATCTCAAATTAACAGTGTAACACAATGAACTTCTACATTTTTTCTTTAATCAACAATTTTTTTTTTTTTTCTTCTGTAATAGCTTGTTTCCAACATTGACTGAGCAGATTGTATATTCTAATTATATACAAAAGAGTGCACCCAACAAGGTGTGTGCTTGGAATTATAATGGCGCTGTCTAAAGACATTTTTCTTAGTGTTCTTTCTATTTTTTTCTTAATTTTGTCAATTTGTTTGGTTTACTTTTTGCATTGCATTTAAGGGTCCCTAAGTAGCAAAGTTTACATAGTTGATTAAGATACTAATTTTGGTTGCTAAATGTAATTTAGGAATCTGTAGGGAACGTGGTCCAAGAAGCATTTAGCTTCCAATTCTCCATCTTTGAACATTCCATGAATCATGATTAATGAACTAGATATGAAAAGCTGTTAGCTTTATAGAACTTTGGATGTCTTAATAATGTGTGATCTGATCGACTTCGACAGATCGCTTTGAGAGATTAAACTACTTTCATGGCAGTGAAGGAGAGAGGAGTATTGGAACTTCTTCAAAAAACTCATCTTTGACGGAGCATGGTGAGGCAGGTAGTAGCAGCAGCCTTCAGAACGATACCAACCCACTTGTTGCAGGGTCAGTTTTGGTTGATGGATGTAGTAACAGTGAGGCTGCCAAGCTGATGAGCGAGCGTGAGTATGCACGTTTGATTATACGAAAGATTTATCTTGTTTGCTTTCCTTTAGGTGGTCTTCTGAACATGCAGCATGGGTTAAGATTTACACTAAAGCTATATAAACTGAATATTTGGGTGTGTATACTTTAGTTCAATCAACTATGGTATAAACGTAGTTCATTGGGTTCTTTTAACCTAATGGATCAATCACCACCCTTTCTTTCACTGGAAGGTAGTAACTGAAGGGACCATGGTATTCATATTCCATTGGACCATACATGTGCAACATGCATGCACGAGCACACATACACACATACTGAGAGAAAGAGGAGGTTGTTGGGGGGGTTGGAGCGGCACTTAGACACAGCATATGCATCTGTTTTTGCGTGTGTTTTAAGGCAGGCACTTGTACACATGTATTTCAATTCATGTAGATGTAGCAACTGTGTGTATAAAGCATATTTTACTTGATTGTATATGATGGTCAATATTGTCATGCAATGTGAATTGTTATACATGTGTCCTTGCTTAATTAATAGCCTTCTTTGTCTCTGATATTCTGCTATATGCAGGCTGGGCAGCTGCAATGTCATCCTATAATGATCCATCAGTTGAGGTGACTGGTAAGCTAATGCTATTCCCCGCAATGTCATCAGGATTGGACCTGTCATTGAATTGGTGATAGCACTGGTCCGATCCAAATTGTTCAGACCAGTAGGCTCACAGGTCAAACTGGTCTGAAAAAATATATATTCTAGAAATTTAAAACTGCATCAAACCGGATTAAAAACTGGTTTGAATCATTCTGAACTGTTCCAAACCTGCCTGTTCAATCGGTCCAACCGGTTGAACAGGGCTGGTTCAGACTGTTTTGACCAGTTGCCTGTTCATTTCTCAGACTGGACCAGTTCCAAGCTCTATTCCCAGTCTAATTGGTTTGACTGGCCAGTTTGGTCCTATCTTAATAACATTGATTCTCAATTAATGATCTCCATGTTGGTTGACATTTTGGAAATACAGATTATCTAATCAGTCAGAATGCTAGTTGTATACATGTGAGTTGCAGGGAAAGGGAGAGAGAGATTGGAAGTCATAGGTTTCGATTTCTACATCATGATATACTTGAGGCAAATGAGTATCTTTTAAAGTGAAAAAAGAACCCAATACGTGCTAGTTTATGTAAAGACCATCGGGTTGCAATCTAATGGCTTAATTTGTTTCTTATGAACCAGAAAAGCCGGTGATGTACTCTGGTTCCAGTGGGTCAGCATGGGGCTCCTCAAAGCTTACTTACCATACGGTAACGGGATGCTTGCGATACTAAAATTTTCTTTCCTTTGCAATGTCCACAGAGAGAGAGAGAGAGAGAGAGAGAGAGAGAGAGAGAGAGAGAGAGAGTAGTAGTAGGTAGTAGGTAGGTAGTATTACGTAAGTACGAACGTTAATTAAGTTAAGTTAGTAAGTAAGTAAGTAGTTTATAGTAGACGTAATAGTA